TCATGTGCCTTTTATTGAGGAGTGGCTTCTGTCTGTCCACTCTACCATAAAGGCCTGATTGGTGGAGTGCTGGAGAGATGGTTGTCCTTCTGGAAGGTTCTCCCATCTCCATAGAGGAACTCTGGAACTCTGTCAGAGTGACCATCGGGTTTTTGGTCACCTCCCTGACTTCTCCCCCGATTGCTCAGTTTGGCCGGGCGGCCAGCTCTAGGAAGAGTCTTGGTGGTTCCAAACTTCTTCCATTGAAGAATGATGGAGGCCACTGTGTTGTCCTGTCTCTGAGCTCTCCGGACAATTACTTCGACCTCGTGGTTTGGTGTTTGCTCTGACATGCATTGTCAACTGTGGGACCTTATATAGAAAGGTGTGTGCCTTTCCAAATTATGTCCAATCAATTTAATTTACCACAGGTGGACTCAAATCAAGTTGTAGAAACATCTCAAGGATGATCAATGGAAACAGGATGCACCTGAGCTCAATTTCGAGTCTCATAGCAAAGGGACTGATTACTTATGTAAATAAGGTATTTCTGCTTTGAATGTTTTATCAATTTGCAAACATTTCTAAAAACCTGTTTTTGCTTTGTCATTATGGGGTATTGTTTGTAGATTGATGAGGAAAAACATGTATTTAATCAATTTTAGAATAAGGCTGTAAGGTAACAAAATGTGGAAAAAGTAAAGGGGTCTGAATACTTTCCGAATGCACTGTATGACATACTTGGGCCATCATGTTGTGTTGTCCTCATTGTACATTTTAAGCCATCATTGGTCTTATAACACCATCTATTTATTCAGTTATGGCCATTAAAACATAAATTAAGTTTCTCCCCATTGAAATAAATGGCGGCCATCTTGAAAAGTCTGCTGGGTCTGGTTATAGACAAAATGGGTCTCCTTGTTCTGTGTGAAATTATAATACATTCACAGTGCTCCTCTAAGGACCTGATACAGATGTATATCATTATGGTAATATAGTAGGACAGCAGTATTTTTTAATGTTATTCTTGTGATTAAACTTAGACTTTTCCATTGTGCTCTACAAACCATTTACCAAATCCCAGGTGTCTTTTTGATGGACCGTTGTTGAGACCTCCTGATGCGTTATGGTGTTTCACTGTATACACTGTGCTCTATGGTCAAATGATTTGACCTCTTCGTATTTAGTCAATAAACAATTAATTCAAGTATAATTGATTGAAGGTTTGATATAAAAGCAGGTGGTCTTCAGGACAAACTGTGACCGTGGCTGTCACAGAGAAAGGAGAGAAGAGAGATCATTAGGAGGAGCCAGGTCACTCAGCCAGTCTCTAACATCTCCTGTGGGGCTGAGCCTTTCTGACTGGGTGCCACAACGGAGACAGGAGTGGGTGGATGTGTGAGTGAGTGAGTGAGTGTGAGAGGAGTGGTGTGAGAGTGGTTGAGAGTAGAGAGAGAGAGAGAGAGAGAGAGAGATAGAGAGAAGAGAGAGCTGAGTGCGAGCGTCGAGAGAGCGCGCGCGCGCGAGCCCGCGACACGGCTCTCTCCGACGCGCGCGCGCGCGCCTTTCTCGAGCTTCTCTTCTCGCGCTCTCTCTCTTCTGCGTCTCCTCTCTCGCGCATACTCGTCGCGAGGTCGTAGCGAGATTAATCTGCCTATCCTCCCCAGACTGATGCAGATCAATGTCTGCTCTTTTTTATCTCACTTTCTCTCTTCAACTTGAAGAGAAACACTCTATCCCTATCTCTCATCCCCCTCTCTCTCACTCTCCATAGCAACAAGGTCCCACTGTGAGGTAAATATACTGATTGCAAATATGCTGTTCATGCAAAGAGGAAGAGGATGTTTGTGTGTATGCATGCCTGTTTCCAAGCAAGCTCCAAGGCGACAACATCAGTCTCATTTTATGAAAGAAATCTTTATTTAGTGATTTATAAACAAAACACATTACCACTGTATCCATTTAGGTAAAATAAAATAAAACAGAAATAAATGAAATTTCACTACTTCACCATCACAGTAGATGAGCAGGTGTACAAAAAAGGTTTTACAACAGATCTGTACTGACCAGTAGGCCAGAACAGCGCCACCATTGGTCACCACCATACATTGATAAAGAATGACAGCGTGAACGCTCACTAAACACAAGCATACACTACATATACAATTTTTACATTGGAATTAGATTTTTTTTTTGGTTCTTTCTTAGTTTTTTCTGTTGAAAGGGAGTGAAAGGGAAGAAATAGCTCATCACAGGATCATACATATTCAGTTACAATATTACAGTGTTAGTTAGATCATCATGTCAAAGCCGGACACAAAATGTTTCTTTGTTGTTGCTTGTTCTCAAAAACGAAAATCCTATTTTCATAAAACTAAATGAACAGAGTTGAGTTTAAGGGCATCACACTACAGCATTTACAAATATTGAAAAGGTTTAGTTAACGTCGTACAACACCACTGTCTTGTGGAGTGCGGAGGGTGTAATATGTAGAAGATGCATGACATAGACGGTACATACACATATCTCCTGTGCGAGTCATAAAGTAAAATGATAATACGAAACAATAAAATCATAGCCATCTATTTATCTCTCTCTATATATATATATATCTATATTGTCTGAGTTTCCTTTGAGACGAACATGCAGCAGTCGCTTTAGTGGAGTGACATCATATTGAGCCGCAAAACTTGGTGGGGGGGGGGGGGGGGGGGGGGGGGGGGTTGCAACAACATACAGGCAGGGGAAGGGGGAACCAATAGAAGCAGGGCTGAAGCATGTCTCCACCCCTTTACAAAACCTCCTGAGAGAGGATTGGTGGGATAGAGCTGTGGGGTGGGAATCCTTAGATGCTCTTATTTATTAATTAATAATGTAATAATTAGGCTATACATTGCATTTATTAATGCACAGGCCATATATGAAAAGCAAGTCTAACTCTACATTTATCGTGTACATAAAAGCCAATGGATGACCTACTGTTTTGATTCACCAATCATAATCAATCAATTTCGGGATATACGTGTACCCAGGAACATGGAGGATAGGCCTAGCCCTCAGGACCATGTCCCAGACATCCACCCCATCCTTGTCCCCATCCCACCTCGTCCCCTCTCGCCAGTGACCACAAACAGGAATGAACAGCGTAGTATTCACAAGTTAAAAGCACTCAACCGTTTTGCACTTAGAGACATCTGACATTAGATCGCAGAATAATGGACCCCGGTCCCGACTGGGTTCTTCAGGCCTCTTCCACATTACTCCATGCTGTTCCCAGCACACCACAATGTTCAGCCTTCCCAGTTCACCCTGAATGAACATGGGGTTAGAGGGGGAGTCCATGGCCAGAAAAAGAGGAAGGACAAGGGCGGTGGGACAAGCAGAAGAGCTGCAGATTAGTTCAAGCTAACAAAACAGAGTAGGAAATCGTGGGTCTTCTCCAAGAACAAATAAAAAGTGAACGTTTTTCACAAATTCATCATCATCACGTGAAGAAGCAGTCTGTGGTTGGGGTAAGGGTGGGGTTGAGAGTTGGGGTTGGTAGGGGCAGGGTGTGGAAAGGGCAGGGGGGTGGGGGACTGTGGAGGACTGTGGAGGATGGGGATCAGGTTGGATATCAGGTAAGGGCTGGTTGCTACCAAACATTCAGAGCAGAAAGCCTCAGGCTTTTGCTGAGTGGCAGGGGGGAGTAGAAGAGATCGTCTTTAGCTAGAGACGCTCCTGCTATTCTACAAGGTTCCAACTGAGCTCAGATCAACAAGCTGGATCACAGGCCAACTCAGCTGGACTCTTCTCTCTTTCGTTCTCAAGAGACTCTGAAGAGTGTTCCTACTTTCTCTCGCTCCCTCGTTTTATCTCTTTAGCATTGAGCTGTTGGCTGCTTTGAGAGAGAGGGATCTCAATGTCCCAAAAGAGAATAGCGAGCGAACCCGTCAGGAGTAGCTGCAGGGGATGCTGCTGTGTCGACCCTGAGAGAGTAGATCTACTGTACACATGTGTACTGCTTAGGAGACTGCGGTGCTGCTGGGAAAAAGTTTGCGTTCTGTACAGCTTGTGTTCTGTATTAAACACAAAGTTGTTTTGTTGGCTGCTCCTGTTTTTTGTTTTTTTTACCTCTCTCCAGTTCTCAGGTGTTCTCAGTGTCCAGGTTGTTACTGCGAGTGTGTGTGTCAGCGTGTATGTGTGTGACATTGACAGCCATGTTTTCCTTGCCATCACAGGGAACACTGACAGATAGAGAGCGAAATAGGAAGCTGCAGCAGCAGTGTCATGTTAGCCTTTAGCCTCAGCTTTAGCGACTCTCTCCCGTGCTATTTACAAGTGTGAGTGTTCAGCTCTAAATCAGCAACATTTAACTCTTCTTCTGTGTGTTGTCTTCAGTTTACTTTCTTTTTTTCTTCTTGACATTACCTTTTTTTGCTCTTTTTCCAAGGCTGGCACAGAGCTTTTTTCTTCTTGTTGTCGGATGTTATTTTCCTCTCAAAGAGATTGAATTATACAACATGGTGGGAAGGGGTAAGACAGAGGTGCCAACGTATCCGTGGGTGGGAGGGTGAAAAGCAGAGGGCGAGGGGAGACAGTAGCTCCCGTCCCCTCGCTGAGAAGAGTGGGGAGGGTATCGTTTGGCTCAAGGTGTAGAGGCACCAGGGGGCATGGAGGAACATTTCTTGTTTATGTGACCAATACAATTGTATTTTATTTGATCAATCAGTTTTTTCTCATCAAGGCATGATTAATCAATAAGGGATTTGGAGGCGTCAGTAATCTACAATAATCTTGGTCAGGCCAGATTTGTACCAGAGAGAGTTGGGCTATTATCTTTGTTCCAGGGGTGGGTATAGAGCAGACTACGGCAGTGTGACTGTCTGCCTGTCTGTGTAACTGAGCCAGAGATGATGAAGTAGAATTGGGGATCTCTCTTCACCTGTGGTCTAAAATACTTTTCTTTTTGTTTCCCGGTGGACTTTGGTTGGCACCTCTGTTTTAACAGCTCCCCTTCTCTTCCTTCTCCTCCTCCTCCTCTACTCATCGTCATCCTTCCCTTTATCCTTTTTATCCTTCTTCTCCTTCTTCTTCTTTTTCTTCTTCTTGGCCTCCTCCTTCTTTCCGAAGCTGATGAAGTCACTCTTGTCGTCCTCTCCTCCCTGCTGGCGGATAGAGATGATAGCGGGGGATCCGGGGATGATGAAGGCTTCGGGGGGGACCTCGCCGGGCTTCAGGTGCTGGGGGGGTCCTCCGGGACCACCGGCGCCGTAACGGAAGTGCCAGCTGTTACTGTCCACTCCGGCTCCCATGGGTGGGGACACCTCTCCACCCTCAGCATCTAGAGACAGAGATAGAGAACAATGTTATTCATTTTGTGTTAGAATCGTCAATCTCACAATCATTATAATTAATATAATCTCTATCAAGGGGGTTGTAAGATGGTTGCAAGCAACATTGTCATCGGTATAATTGTCAATGTTGTCATTGATTTCATAGTCTTGGACACTTTCATGAAAAGACTTGGAAACCTCTGCCATGTCAGACTGTTCCCCCATAGCATCCATTGGTGATGCACCATAGCACACAGTCAACACTGTGCTGAATCGACAGCCACAGGAGTTCTCTGATCACCCTGACTCCCATTGTGATGTCACTAAATCGGTCACTAATCCACAGAAACAGCCATAACACCACTCAAAAGGAAGGGGTGGCGACTCAGAATGCAAGCCTTCAAACGTTCCACTGATAAGCAGCACAGAATCAAAGTGTCCGTTCCGCCGCCCCTCGCTAAGGCTAGGGTCCCCGGTCGGCGCTGTGGGATAAGACATGAAGCGCTCCATCACGCAGGGAAGGTCAGGGAATAAAGACATGGCATTTAAACAGAAAGTCAACAAGCCGTTTACACTCTGAGCGTTCGTTCTGGGAGATGACTGCGCTTTAACTTCCATCACAGATCGCCACTGAAGCGCTAAGAAGAAAAAAAGGCAAATGGAGATTGTGTCTGTTCAATAGAAGTGTTTACCTATGCAAACAGGTGTGTGTGTGTGTGTGTGTGTGTGTGTGTGTGTGTGCGTGCGTGCGTGCATGCGCAAGTTGTGTCAGTAAGTAGCCAAAACAACAGCGAACTAAACCATCTCCAACGCTCAGCATTTTAAGTGGTCTCCAGCTACTTAAAATAGTCTGTACTCAGTACTTTGAGACAGACAGGTGTGAAACAACCTCTCTATACTCTCAGCTCTCCCTCAGTCTCTAGACACACGTCAGGACTCACTGCAGCAGCGCAGAATAGAGCGACTCTTGGCTCAGCTAACAGCTCTCACCTCCCAAATCAACCCCATCAATCTGCCCAAGGAGAGAGAACGCTCCTCCACACACATAAATAACACCATTAAAGGGGCAGGGGCGCTCACATAAATAACTCCTCATTAAAGGGGATAGGAAGAGGATGGCAGAGGTGCCCGGTCAGTCAAACAGCCAGCTCACCGTGACTCTGCGTTATTTAAAGGGCGTGTGTGGGTTGATGACCCAGGGTGCTTGTAACATAGCTCACACACCATGCTGACAACCCAGGGATCCCGAGAGGACTGTTCTAACTCCTCAGTCCCCTTACACACATAAACCGATGCACATACACACTCCACCAGCAAAACACCCCCCCACACCACTTTGCCTCGTTCCTCACAGCTATGACCTAGTTGCTATACTTCCTTCACATATTCCTCTTTTTATTTCTCTCTCTTTTTTTGACTTCCCTCCAAAGGGGAGTTTAACAAAACAGAGTTCATCCAAGCAGAAGGAACAGTGTCTGGAAGAGGGAGGACTGGCCTCATATAACACCCAGGGTATGGAAGGCCATCTCCCCATTCCCTGTCCTCACTAATCCTGCCTCTATTGGACAGCTAGGAGGGCCTGACCAGCTCTGGTGGTACTTTCAGCTGAAATTCCCATTAACATAGATTTTTCTTGACAGTTGGACTAAAGGCATTCTTAATACCTTGGATACACGAACATAACAAAAAAGGACTACGAAGCACCCCATGGGAAAGAGCCCCATTTGGTCCAGGGCAAGAGTTCAGTAAGTCAGTTGTGATCAGCCAGTACATGTCTCATCTAGCAGGTAGTGATTGAAGTGGCCAGGGGGAGGCATTGTTACACGGCTTCAAAGAACAAGAATAGGAGCACAGATGTAGTCCGGCTCAGTAACAACAACAACCAAGAAGAGCTTAGAACTAGAAGACGGAACTAGAACACTGATCTATTCTAACACTACTCTACTCCTCTCTTCTCTCACTTCCTCTCTGAATTCAAAAGGAACCAAAATAGTTTATTTTGCCCAAAGTATTTCAAAGTACTATAAAAAGAAGTAGAGGGAATAAACAAAACATATTTTCTGGCAATTAGTGCCCATTAAAATGATAAAAAAAGATTATGATTTTTATGAAGCTCTCTATCCCGTCACTTTCTCTCCCATTCCCCTATCACCTCTTCTCCTCGCCTGCCCTTCCTTCCTCCACCCCCTTTCCCTAACCGACTCCTCTCTCCTCTCTTCTCCTCCCTCTCTATTTCTCCCCCCACCCTTTTTCTCTGCCCAACTTTGTTCTTTCCTCTCCATCTCTCTCCCTCCCCTCTCTTTGCAGCCCTATTTCCCTCCCAGCCTCTCTCCTCCTACTCTCCCTCCTTCCTCTCACCCCCTCTGCACTAGCCCGGGCTCTCTGCTGGAGCTGCTCAGAGTGATGGATTCTGGGAGTCGAACACTGCAGCAAGCCTTTCTGGCTGATGGGACGCTGTCCTATTAACCCTCTCATAGATACAGATGCTATGTCCCCATTCTCTACCCTTCTGCCCTAAAAGTGTGCACTTGTTCACTTCCCTTCATGGATTTAAAAGGAAAAGAGTGGTGTAAGAAAGAAGGTCACATCTATCTCTAGCCAATGCTGGAAGGTAGAGAATTGAGACGCAGGGGAAAGATTATAGAGAATATCCTCACTACCAGCGGCCATTTTTCCTACTCTGTAAGAGGGCACAGATGGGCCGATTGAAACAGACACAGAATTCCAGCAGTCACATAGTCCTCCTTTTCACTTCCTTTTCAAACCAGGAGTGCTATCTGACCTTCACTGATTGTGACATCAGCGCTGTAAGACGGATGAATAGACAGTACATTTTGGTCATTTAGCAGATGCTCTTATCCAGAGTGACTTAAAGTTAGTGCATTCATCTTAAGATAGATAGGTGGGACAACCACATATCACAGGCCTAGTAAGTCAAATGCAAGTGTTGGTTGAGGATTTTTTATTTTAAGACAGGATGAAGACAAGAGGAGGAGAGGAGTAGGAGACAGATACAATCTACTCTCTCTCTCTCTCTCTCTCTCTCTCTCTCTCTCCCTCTATCTCGCTCTCTCTCTCTCTCTCTCTCTCTCTCTCTCTCTGACAGTGCGAGACTCTGTATCAATCTCGGGTTATTGCCTTTATCTGACTCCCAGCCAACATTGTGATCCAATTCAGTTCTATAAATGGGAAAATTATAAAAGAGAGGAGGAATGAGAGAGAAAAGGGAAAGACGGCGATCCTAGAAAGTGGTAGGGTATTTACTCTAAAATGCCTTTGCTCAGCTTTTCTGTCCCTGAGTAATTTCCTGTCTAAAACAATGCAGGCAGATGAAGAGACACCCGTGCCCTTGATGCAACAATGAAGTCATAAACAAATAGGACCCCAGAGAGTGATGAGTCACTGCAGGGCCAGCTCTAGCCATTTGGGGGCCCTAAGCAAGACTTGATTTTAAAGTTAATTTCCTGCAATTCTACACATTTAGCCATGGAGAAAAGAGAAAATGTTGCAGGTTTATAACTCATTTCATGCAATTGTATTTGTTTTGCCTTTGGGCGGAGAGAAAAATGTGAAATTTTACAGCGCATGTTATGCAAATTCTGCAATGACATATGGCATGTTCAAATTATATCTGAGCGACAATGGCTACCAAAGTCAAATGGGGACCCCCTGGAGGTCATGGCCCCTGGGCACGTTCCCGTCATGTCCGGTTGGTAATTCGGCCATGATTACTAAAAGTGTCGGTAGTTGGCAAGACTAACTTACCAATCTAAAAATGTTTAGAGCGTGACAGTTGATTGACTGTCATTGACTGATATAACACAAGGAGAACTGCTGATGCACAACCACATTTTGAAACTGCACCTTGTGTATTCTATTATTCTAACTCTCAACAGTAAATTGAGACCCCGACTTAGTTCCACAAAGGGGGATTAAAATGAATTTAATTGTCATTTTTTGTGAACAATCTACACAAAATACTCTGTAATGTCAAAGTATAAAAAAAAAAATTGTGTATAAAGATTAATAAAAAATAATATGAATAACTAAAATATAGTAATAACTAGTAATAACTAAAATATAGTAATTGCATAAGTATTCAGCTCCCTGAGTCAATACATGTTAGAAACATTTTTGACAGCGATTACAGCTGTACGTTTTTTGGGTAAGTCTCTAAAAGCTTAGTTTTCACACCTGGATTGCACAATATTTTCCCATTATTCCTTTCAAAAATCTTCAAGCTCTGTCATGATGTTGGGATCATGGCTAGACAGCTATTTCCAAGTCTTGCCATAGATTTTCAAGCAGATTTCAGTAAAAACTGTAACTTGGCCACTCAGGAACATTTACTGTCTTCTTGGTAAGCTTCTTGGTATTGTCCTACTGAAAGGTGAATTCCTCTCCCAGTGTCTGGTGTAAAGCAGACTGAAGCAGGTTCTCCTCTATGATTTTGCCTGTGCTTAGCTCCATCACATTTGTTTTTATCCTCAAAAACTCCCCAGTATTTGCGATGACAAGCATACCCATAACATGATGCAGCCACCACTACGCTTGAAAATAAGAAGACAGTTACTTAGTGATGTGTTGTGTTGGATTTGCCCTAAACATAAGGCTTTGCATTTAGGACAACATTTATAGTGTATTCCTTTGCCGTGTTTTTTTTGCAGTATTACTTTGGTGCCATGCGGCATACAAGATGCATGTTTTGGAATATTTGTATTCTGTATATTTGTATTCTTCTTTTCACTCTGTCATTTCGATCGTTATTGTGATCTACTACAGTGTTGTTGATCTATCCTCAATTTTCTCCCATCACAGCCATTGAACTCTGTAGCTGTTTTAAAATCACCAACGGCATCATGGTAACATCCCTGAGCCGTTTCATTCCTGTCCTGCAGTCCAGTTTGATGAGTCTGGGTGGTTTAATACATAATTATTAACTTGACCATGATTAAAGAGATATTCCATGTCTGATTTGTTATTGTTACCCATCTACCGATCAATGCCCTCCTTTATGAGGCTTTTTAAATACTCCCTGTTCTTTAGCTGAATCTGTGCTTGAAATTCAATACTTGACTGAGGGGCCTTACAGATGTTGTATGTATGGGGGACAGAGAAAGGGTAGGTCATTCAAAAATCATGTCAACCCCTAATATTTCACACAGAGTGAGCCCACATAACTTATTATGTGATTTGTTAAGCCACATTTTTATCACTGAACTAATTTATGCTTGCCTAAACAAAGGGTCTGAATACTTATGCAACAACTCTATTTTGGTTATTTAATTTGTATTAATCTGTTTTCTTCCACTCTGACATTACAGAGTATTTTGTGTAGATTGTTGACACAAAAGAAAAGACAAGTAAACCCACTTTGTAACGCAATAAAATGTGAATAAATCCAAGGGGTCTGGATAGTTTTGTAAGGCACTGTTTACTGTATATACTTATGCCCGGAGCCGGCCCTGAGTCACTGTGATGGAGAGCAGGCATATGCAGCAGGACCTGAT